GCCTGCGTGGTTCTTTCGATTCCATCCTCCGAGGCTACACCCAGCACCCGAGCTTCGACGGCTTGCTGCCAGAAGTAGACGTTGAAGAGTGGGTCCGCAGCCCGCTCCCCCCATCCTCTCCTCGCGTCGCTAGCACGTCGACTGCTGGTGCACCGGCCCCTCTCTTCTCTGCTGGCCCTGTCTTACCCACCAGGTACCCTAGGGGGACGAAGTACAAGCAGCGCAAGCTGACATTCGGGAGGCCGCGATCACCCACCTCCACGCCAACTACTCCACCTGCCGCGCTCACGTCAGATGCTGGACTGTCAACCCCTGATTCACTGGACGACATTGTGGACGACGGTCCATGGCCGCTGACACTGGAGGAGCTGCAGCTGAAGTGCAGTGAGCAATGGCAACGTCACTTCCCCTGGCTGTTCATCTCGGAGACGAAGGAAGGTCGTCCGTGCATGAAGTGCACCGTCTGCATCACGCACGGAGAGCCAACGTACCAGTATGGGCGCTATGGGGAGGGCGGCATCGACATTCAGAAGCAGACCATGCGGAAGCACGATCACAGCATCAAGCATGAGGCAGCAATGGCGGCAAAGGCGCATCGGCGATGGCAAGATGAAGAAACAGAGGAGTATTGCGGAATTGAGAACGGGATGAGGACGCACGACGTTTGAAGAGGCTTTTTGCCCATTGTGCACTTTATCTGCAAATCTGACGCCCCCATTGCCCTGTTTGTTTCGTTGGTTCAATTCATGGCAGAGCAGGGGACCCCGAACATGCCCCTGAAGGAGAACGGCACGTATTATTCAGAGGAGTGTAGTCGAATGACACACCCTCTCACCCTGACCTATGTTATTGTCCCGCGTGGCTGTCTTTTTTTAGGCGTCAAAATACACGACTGACTTGTCTGTTTAACTTTGCAGATACGGTTTCGCCCAGCTGGTCGAAACCATGGTGGCCTACTTGCGCGCAAAGCAGTTGAAGCACATCGTGACAAGCCCGTACCTCGGCATTCAGCTCGACGAGAGTACGGACAGGCGGGCGGGGGAAGCATCTCATCGTGTACTTGACTTTCCTACGGGACGAGGAGGTCGTCACCGAGTTTTATGCGCACCTCACAGTTGACAAATGCGACGCGGCTTCGCTGCAAGCTATCCTCCTCACGCATCTCGAGGCAACCGGCGTGGACCTCCAGAAGATCTGCGGCATCAGCACGGACGGCGCGAGCGTCATGACGGGCGCGTCGACCGGGCTGGTGGCACGGCTGCGGTCCCGCATCCCGCACCTAGTCTCTTGCCAGTGTCACACATAGGTAAGAGCAGTGTTCTGAGGCACCAAATTAAAGCATGCTGTACATCTTCCAATACAGTCACTCCCCCCCTTTTGACTACGCACATGCTTACCTTGTGTGCAGGGAAGCTCTTGCTGCCAAGGATGCGGCAGCTGACTTTCCCGACCTTGCCATTTGTCACAGGATCGAATGTCCCGAGGAAAGGTTTGCTCAATTTTCCCCTATCAATCAGTACAAGGGGCTTTTATACTTCCAGAGTACATCAGGTAACCAGGTTTATCCTATCCAAAGGGAATAGAGCCTTCTAGAAATAGAATCACCCTGCGTATAGCCACGCGAGGCTATTGGCTTTAAGGGATTACGGCAGGATTACGCTAGATATAGCGCGCCAGTACATCCCCAGCCTGGTCGGTGATATAATCATAATAACAGGATAAACCAAAGGATAATGGAAATGGAGGAATAGGAAACCAAATGAGATAAGATAAAGACCAAATGAATCAGGATGAAAAGAGGAATGAGATAGAAAGGAAATATGGAAAGAGGAAATTGGTGTAACGGGGTCGTACTCTCACACTTTCCCCCCTCAAAGCTGGGTGGTAGAAGTAACACCCTGCTTGACAAGGTAGTCGCGAAGAGGACGACGGGCGTTACCCATGTCGGATTCAGAGACACAGCCTCAGAAATATCATAACCCTTCCAGCAAAGAAGAAGCTCCAGAGTGCCATTCTGACGACGACGGGCGGCGGCAGTGGCTGGCACTCGGTGTAGAGCGTGTGTGGTCTTGATAGGGTTTAAGAAGCTGGTATGGAAGGCGTTATGGATCTTCCAAGTGGCTGGTAGGCGGAAGCGGAAGGTGAATGAAGTGACTGTTGCTTCAAAGAGGATAGTACCGCAGAAGCAAGGTCGCAGTTTGAATGGGAGATGGCCGATATCAAGCTGTACTCGGTTTCCCACGGTGATGGTGTGGTCTGTGCGGTGGCGATCGGTCTGGCGCTTCTGTTGTTGCTGAATGTCGAGAAGGCGCTTGTGAGTCCGATCCCAAAGTTTGTGCATGGTCGTGATGACATCATGAGCGGGTTGGACTGTGGCTGGTATGGTTGGCTGTTGTGGTGTGATCGGGTGGCGTCGGTAACAGAGGAAGAACGGCGTCTGTCGAGTAGCGCGTGAGTAGCATTGTTGTAGGCAAAGTCCAGGATGGGCAGATGCAAGTCCCACTTGAAGATTTCGTCCTTGTAGGCTGCGCGGAGGAGTTGCTCTACAATTTGGTTGAGACGCTCGGTTTGTCCATCTGTCTGCGGATAGTATGCGGATGACATGGCGATGAAATCGTAAGAAAGTTGGACTGTAGCAAGAACTGTCTGTTGCTACGGAGTGAGCAGGCTCCGTCCATAGCAAAGGAAGGATGGTGTGTATCGTCGTCAGTGATATATGGGCAGGTGCAAGTTGCATTTGGAGATGTGAATGGTTGGAACGGTATGCTGTAACGTGCAGATGAATGGCTATGTTGTCCAATCTGTGCATGATGTTACCCGCATCTGGTCCACGTATGAAATCACCAAGTGTTGGTGGTACGGCAGTCGTGTCGTGGTACTGCTTCTGTAGAAGTGTTGTATCCGACACATGCAGCTTCTGTCGAATGCTGGTCCATGCCGTAGTGTTGTCGCGAATTGTACCCTCTCGGCATCATAGCGCTGCGGGAATGGAGACCAGAATCACTAGTAGTAACCCTGTCCACCACGCGGTCTGCTAGTCACACTGCCTTGAGTATAACAGCGCATGCGAAGTGCTGCTCGGCGTATCCCTTGTGTTCAGAACCATGCAAGGGGTTGGTACCACGAACGCGGAGCTGGTAACTTCCAGAATCGGCGCCAAGTAGTTTCCCTCGGTGGTTGCTCAGCAAGGAATCTCAGCTGCGTAGATATCCCACGGTGATGGGTTAGGATACTTGGGAATATTAGGGGTATTCCCAAATAATCCTCTCCCATTACCAAATGAGCATTGCTGACAACCAATCCAGTATAACCTTATGCTCTTCCAGTTTAGCACGGAGGCCATCGGTAGGCATCGGTATCTGGGTGCACATATTGGGATAGGTCGTCTGGTGCCATCATGTGTTGTCTCATTCTATCACTATCCTTGAAGTAGCGTTGATATCGAAGACGTCTCAGCTACTCAGCATCAGTGTTGAAGTCTGCTCCATTTCGGCCAATAGGGGTGCTGTTGGAGATACGCGGAGTCCACTGTCAAGAGTGGTGTCGGCACTCCATTTTACGCCTATCTGCTTCCGTGGAGGTGGTGCTGGTGATGGATTGGTTGCGACGCAGGTTTTATGACTTTAAGGAAAGCCATAGGCCATGAGGACTTGTATACCGGTAGAGTACCGTTGTCCTCCCATTCTCATAAGAGCAAATATCTTCTGCTCTTAAGGCTATATGGCATTGCCATGTTGTTCCTTCGCATAGTGGTAGCTCCTTCTCACTAGCTGGAAATCAATGTTGTGCCTGGCCGGGTCTTAACGATCCACTGGAATATAATCCAGCATTATCTCCATTGAGCGGAGAATCATCCATCAGGGTTTGGATATGACTGTTGTGTCGAGTCTTCTGCTGCGGCGGCGGCGGCGGTTGCGACGATGGCGACGGCGGCAGCTACTGCAGAGAATTCTCTCATCTCGTACCGGTTGAAGGAGAATCCATCAACTCCCTCTTCCCAGTAGAGTGTTCCTGATGGGTGTAACAGGCGTAACTACCAGGAACACGTGCACATTAGTACACATGTGTTGCTCCATTGCTGCCGGTGATTGTTTCATTTGAGTGTATGAAGAGAAACTTGCTTCTCCCCTCAATGTATCCACGGGTAGCAATTCCTGGTATGCGCATCCGCGCCTCCGATGTACGGTCGGTAGAGCGCGTGATCGTCTTGTAGTAGTCCGCATCTCCCTCATTTGTTGACACCTCGTGTTGCTTGGCGTTCTCCTGCATCGTCGAAGTTACGCTGGTGCTTGTAACGCTTCGGCTTCAAGTAGAATCACCTCCAATGCATGTGCCGTAGGGTCGCTAGTGCACAAATACTTGCCGGATTAGAGGTTAATTACTCCTCAATCTGTCAAGCATCGTGACATGTACGGAACATTTTTCACGCAGGTCATTAACACATGGAATCACGACGCATGATTGGTGTGTCGCCTCGTGAGGTTGATGTTGAGACTGCTCCAATCAATCACTTCGGATGGCTGAGATTCTTCATGAAGACGAATCGTTCAGCTCCTGTTACGAAGTAGTGTCTCGCTGGCCTTGACGAGACGGGTTCACTGCGTCATCGTTGCGTGCGAAATCTGCTTCTTCGCAACAACTTGAACTTGGGAGCATTGCAAGAGAAAACGGCTACTTCTCTGCAATCCCATAGCTTGTCGATCAATTTGTAAGAAGAAGTGTCTCATGGATGGAGAAGATGTCTTCACGCAGCTCCATTGTTTTTCCTGGGTGAAGATCCGCTGTGTTGATGTCGATCCATTTTTAACGAAGATGATTTCGTCAAAATAAGTATATCGTTATCGACACTACTTAGAAGATGCGTCGATTGTGCAGTCGCTGGTCACGAATGTTGTCTCCATGATGATGATTTTCCACAGTGTAGTCTCTGCTGCATTCGTGTCGTTGATTCCGCACTGATCCGACGATCCACGTTCTCCTGTCAGATTTCTGCCTGCAGCTATTACCAAGTAGGTAATACTCTGGCAGATTTCTGACTTCAAAGATGATTCGCGCGCCAAATTCGAATTTGGTCGTCCAGATGATGACAACGATGTCCAAGGCGGCTAATTGTGGGCTCTGTGCGTCATTCTCCCTTTGTGCAGAATTTGCCCTCCATCTCGTCCGTTGAAGCAGAAGTCGATCCGACGGTCCAAACTCCAAGCGATCTGAGGATACTCCTGAGTCGCGTTCATCAGCTTTCCGTGCTCGGGTGATCTCGTTTCATGCAGCAATTCTCGGTCGTCAATGTCGGCTGTTGAACGATCGGACGCTCCGAAGAACTTCGCGGCTTGCGAGGTCCCGTTCCCATTCGCGTTGAAACTCGAACTCGCTCAGAAGGTTTCGTAGTCGCCTCGGTCGATCTGAAGCGTCAAATCTCCATCGGACGGATGTCGTCGGTCGCAGCTCCGCACATTTCCGCGCAACTCCGAGTGTCGTCGCGAACTGCGAACTCCTCGAAATGTCGCAGGGAGTGTTCCGCCAGAACTGACGCGTTCGCGAGGTCGAGGCCGTTTGCCCCCGCGAAAAACTTGGCACCGTCGATGCACTCCATCGAACGGTCGGCGAGGCATCTCGCCTGCAAAGGGGACCCCAGGTGCAACTGCGAGAGGTTAGTCGAAACTTAAATGAAAGTGTATTGTACTTACAGGAATTGAAGTTTCGACTCCATCCTCCGCGTGCTCCTGGGGGCCCAGGGGTTAAGCATTGAGCTGAAACCTTGGCTCTGATTACCAAGTGTCACAGGATCGAATGTCCCGAGGAAAGGTTTGCTCAATGTTCCCCTATCAATCAGTACAAGGGGCTTTTATACTTCCAGAGTACATCAGGTAACCAGGTTTATCCTATCCAAAGGGAATAGAGCCTTCTAGAAATAGAATCACCCTGCGTATAGCCACGCGAGGCTATTGGCTTTAAGGGATTACGGCAGGATTACGCTAGATATAGCGCCAGTACATCCCCAGCCTGGTCGGTGATATAATCATAATAACAGGATAAACCAAAGGATAATGGAAATGGAGGAATAGGAAACCAAATGAGATAAGATAAAGACCAAATGAATCAGGATGAAAAGAGGAATGAGATAGAAAGGAAATATGGAAAGAGGAAATTGGTGTAACGGGGTCGTACTCTCACACCATTGTTGACAAGGTCGTGAAGTCACTTGCAGAGGTCCTCGGCAGGTCTATTGTCTTGCATTCACGTTTCAAGCAGCTCCAGGATGTCGTCTCAGAGACGAACCTGGAGTTGCAGGGAATCCACAACATCAGATGGTTATCCCGAGGTGAGGCCATCCAGAGGCTAGTCGAGGTATTCCCTGCCGCCATCATACTCCTATCGGAGCATGACCGGCAGGCGTACACCTTGGTAATTAGCTTGAAATTCCATTTCCTACTCTACTTCCTTGCCGATGTCCTCAACGAGCTCAACCTGCTCAACCTGAAGTTTTAGCGCCTCCAGGTAAATGCTACTGCATCCCGATGTGCGGCTTTATAAATGACTCATTTCTAACATCTCTTTGCTTTTCCTTCAAGTCGACGTCACCCACGTTTGCCAAATGGTGGACAACACCAAGCTAACTTTGCGCAGCCGCTACGTCAACTATGGCGAGGCCTTCGGTCATGGCAACACGGCCCTAGTGGAGTTCATCAAGAAGCACTCATCACCACATAACCGCGAGGTGACGGCCGAGGGCGTGGACGGCGATGGCACCAGACTCATCCACACCTACACGTTGCACGAGAAGGCTCTCCCTGGACAAATCAGTGGTGGGGACATGAAGTCGCTGATGACCATGGCAACTGCGTTCGTGCTCGGGCTGCTGGACAGCATTGATTCCCGCTTAGCAGATCTGAAAACCCTCAACTGCTCCAAGCTCTTCTGGCAGGGAGCGTATCCACGGACCATCCAGAAGCGGGAGCGACGATTTCCACTGTGGCTGACAGGTTTACGCAACCTGTACAAGCGTGAACCCTCGTCTCCCGATACCCTGCCTGGTGAACCCTCAACTACAGCAAGCTGTTCCGCGGCTAGTTTCTCCATTCCTCAGTCCTCACTGCCAAAACCCATTGATTCGCGCATGTATTGATTATGCAATTGCAATTATCTCCCAATTGTGCTCACTTCATGATTTCCCCTCCGTGTCCTGCGCCTGCCCCACCCTTATTCCAGGCATCAATTGGACAAAGGCTCAGAAGGAACTGACTCAGTTTACGATTATCATGTCAACACATTGCAATGACTACGGATTTCTCGACGGCCTGAAGAACATGCTACGATCCCCTGACTGGCAGACGGCCTACCCGAACTTGGTGCATCTGTGGATCGCTGTGGCAGTGCTTCCTCTGAGCACTGTCGAGTGCGAGCGGGGTTTCAGTCGCCAGAATGTAATAAAGAGCTGGCTCTGCGGGAACCTGTGCGACGCGAAGCTGTCGGATCTTCTGTCCATTTCTCTCCTCGATTACGACATGGAGTGGGACTCGATGGTGGAGAGGTGGCGGGCAGGGAAAAAGCGGCGGCCGGCAAAGGAGGTTGTCATGGCACAAGCGGCACGCCCGCAGAAGAGGAAGATGTCAGAGGCAGCAAGATCAGCGAAGAGAGCAGCAGTAGCAGCAGAGTCAGCAGCCCGACAAGCTGCAGCAATGGCCGAAGCAGAAGCGGCAGATGAGGCCCTAAACCCTGGAGTCGCCTACTGGAGGAGGAAGGCAAGAGGCAAGGCTACTGCGATTGACTTGGATTCTGATAGTGAAGAGGAGCAGCAGGACAACCCCTTTGCAAGTGACAGTGAAGATGAGTGAAGTCCTGTGTCAGCATGATTCTATGCTCGACCGACTGTCAATGACGTGCCATTGAAGTGCTACTGGCTAGTGAAGTGAATAGATGCTGTCATGTAGTGTCGTTGGGTTACATATTTAATGGTAGATTGATTTCTGACTTGTATTTCTGGCTTAGAGTGTTACGTTATTTCAGCTACTTTAAAAGCTGTAGGACTTATGTCCAAGGATGCGTATGCTAGACTAATATTCGAAGAAATTAGACAGGCCTGTAAACTTCGTCTGAATAGTCAGACAGCCCTGAAAATTTCGTCTGAAAACTCAGACGAGAGGCAAATTTTCGTCTGATGGTCAGACGGACGCACAAAAGTTGGTCTGAAGATCAGATGCCCCTAAATCCTAGCAAGGACCCTGTTTGGGACCTCATCAGTTTGCCGAGGCTATTGGATACCTTCTGAGGCGAGGCTGCAGCGACAGGGTGTTGAAAATATGCGACATGGTTCAACACGTTAGTCAACGACCACATAAACAGGCAGAATACTCGCTAATGTGATTAGCAAGAAAAATGCATACTGGAATGCCGTTTGCCTAAATACCATAATGTAGCACAAACTTAACTAAATCTGAGACATCGAGCTTTATATTAATGCATGGTATCAGTAAAATTATCACATAAATCCTAAGAAATAAATTTCTACTAGAGTTTGCTTGTTGGCTCGTTTAATTTCTATGATGTTGGGAAATGTGTTTTATTGAAATTCTGCTCTTTTAGAAAGGGCCAACTTCATCGTTGTACATTCACGAATAAGCCTATAAACCGCATCGGAGCCTGCCTACTCAGCACCATCGAAGTATGAACCGATACTTGCTCACCAATTGGAGCTATCTCCCACATGGCCAACTTCTCGCCACGTCACGTCGAAATCGAAACCAGGCCCTCCTGTGGTCCCCACACCAGCTCAGATGGCCCGGCAGGTGAGGCAGCAATTCAGTCCTGAGAGAACAAGGCACACGTGACTCTCTGCTTCACTCTGACGAGCAAGCCCAACCAATCCATACTATCTCCCATCCAAGCGCATCTAGAATCTATAATTTCCTGCCCAGCCACATTTCTACACAGCAGCATCCGCCTGGTCTCGCATTCTCTTGCTGAGATCCTCGCACAGCTGTCCGAGCTGCGTCGACTTATCTATTTCAGCGGTTATCGCATTTCTTGAGATGAACGCTTGCTCTCGCCTCCCAGCATCGAATTGCCTCTCATCATCATCGTCATTACGTCGTGCATTGCCGTTAGATTGTTCTCACTCTCCTTCCCGAGGCAGTCCTATCATAACAAGACTTTCTCGTGGTCCAGTCATGGCTTCAGCATCGCAGCCAATCAGCTGTCCGCCAGCCAGCGCGGCGGGTCGCATGGTGCGGGTGTCGTCGACGGAGAAAATGGACTTCGTGCCGCACCTGCGCGACGTGTCGCAGTTCTCCTCCACGCCGACAAACACGCGGCTAGCCGGCACGCCGCCAGCGCGGAATGAGTCGCTGGCGGACGGGAAGGGCGTGGCCACGCAAGCAATTTTCAAGTTCGGCCGGCCGACGCTGCCCGACGTGGTGGAGGCGGGCGACCCCGTGCTGCACGAGCCCGCCCGCCCCGTGCCCGCGGAGGTGAGTGCCCGCGGAGGTGAGTTCGCGCGGAGGTGAGCCAGCCATTCCGTGTGAATCATTACGCTACTGCATCTGCGGCGAACTTTGTTACTGCCCGCGCGCGTTACTCAGGGGTTCCGGACGAAAAGGTGAAAAACAACTTTCCCATTTTCGCACCACATCCACCCGCTGCTTGGCAGTTCTGATGCTCCCACCTTGACACTCAAGATGCCTTCTGCCTGACAACTTTTTGCAATAGTTTCACCTGTCTATTCTGTTCTTCCCCCTGTTCCCCTCCCTCTCCTCCTTCCCGTCTTATCCGCGTGCTTGCCACCTGGCACCAGGACATAGGCAGTCCGGAGATAGAGAAGATCATTAACGACATGGTGGCGGTCATGCGAGCAGCGCCAGGTGTCGGCCTGGCAGCCAACCAGATTGGCCACCCGCTGCAGGTAAGGCAGCCAGGTATGGAATCAGGTAAGGCGGTCAGGTATGCCCGTCAGTTATGGCAGTCGGGTATGGCAGCCAGGTATGACAGTCTGGCAGTCAGCTATGGTCATCAGTTATGGCAGCAGTCTGGCTGTCAGGTATGACAGTCTGGCAGTCAGCTATGGCAGTCAGGTATGGCAGCCAGGTGTGGCAGTCTGGCAGTCAAGAACGGCAGTCTGGCAGTCAGGTATGGCAGTCTGGCAGTCAGTTACGACAGTCTGGCAGTCAGATATGGCTGTCTGGCAGTCAGGTATGGCCGTCTGGCAGTCAGGTATGGCTGTCTGGCAGTCAGGTATGGCAGTAGTACAGCATTCCTAAACAACAGCCAGGTGCTCGAGTCTTGAAATGCAGTCCATATCTGGTAAGTCAAGCAACATACGCCATCACTTTATGCCTTTCCCGACTGCCCACGGCCCCTGCGTGTGTGTGGGGGTGTGGTGGGCACGGCGCAGATCATCGTGCTGGAGGACACGGTGGAGCTGATGCGCGTGTGCGACCAGGAGGACGTCAAGCAGCAGGAGAGGAAGCCGTTCAACCTGCTGGTACGCGCGCTGGGCAATGAATGAATGAATGTGAATGAATGAATGGGTGAATGAATGAATGGGTGAATGAATGAATGGGTGAATGAGTGACTGTGGGAACGAGTGAATGAGTGAGTGAGTGAGTGAGGGAGTGAGTGAATGAGTGAGTGTGGGAACGAGTGAATGAGTGAGTGTGGGAACGAGTGAATGAGTGAGTGTGGGAACGAGTGAATGAGTGAGTGTGGGAACGAGTGAATGAGTGAGTGGGAACGAGTGAATGAGTGAGTGTGGGAACGAGTGAATGAGTGAGTGTGGGAACGAGTGAATGAGTGAGTGTGGGAACGAGTAGTGAGTGAGGGAATGGGTGAGTGAGCGACCGGCCTTCAGCTGAACTTCTTGGTGGCGACTGAACCAAATCTCTCAGCTGATGGACCTTCAGCGCGCCTTCAAGGCGGCCGAACTGAATGGAATGAATGAGCAGCCCCTTCTTTTGCGCAAGGCCAAGTCTGCTTCTCGCCTGCTGCGTTACAGCCTTGTAGCACCATTCAACATTCACCATTCTCCATTATCCATTCTCCTGTAGGCATCGCTCTGCCCCTCCGGTGGCGATGCTCTGTCCATCTCGTGGTGATGTTCTTTTTGTTGCACTTGGCACCACAAGGTCCTCCTGCAGGTGATGCTCGTGTTGTTGCTCTGTGGATTGATTTTTTAGTCGACTCAAAAACCGCTCGTTTTGTTGCGCTGTGAATTGCCGCAGGAGATCATCTGGGTGCATTTTGAGTTGACTCAAAATACTCTCTGCCCATCTCTGCGTGCCAATGCTGCAGGTGATCATCAACCCGGTGCTCAAGCCAGTGGGGGACAGCAAGGCACGGTTCTTTGAAGGCTGCCTCAGGTGCTCGTCTCCCTCCCTCCTTCCCCTCCTTCCCCTTCCCCGATCACCGCATTTCCATCCTCCGCCTTCTCACCTTTCTCCTTTCCCTCAGCTTCCCTCAGCTTCCCTCAGATTCCCTCAGCGTCCCTCAGCGTCCCTCAGCGTCCCTCAGCGTCCCTCTGTGCCCTCTCTCATTGCCTCTCTTTCTCCCTCGTCCCCGCCACGTGTTCCCTGTGTCTCCTGCACGACTCGTCCTGCCCATGCCCACTCTAAATCTAATCGCCTTTCTCCTCACACCCACATGTCTCTTCTTTGTTGCTTTCTGCCTATCACGCCACTGTCCCGAAAAAAAACTCTTCATGCTCGGAATTCCTCTCCGCCCTCAGCCTCTCTCCGCCCTCAGCCTCTCTCCGCCCTCAGCCTCTCTCCGCCCTCAGCCTCTCTCCGCCTTCAGCCTCTCTCCGCCCTCAGCCTCTCTCCGCCCTCAGCCTCTCTCCGCCCTCGGCCTCTCTCCGCCCTAAGCCTCTCTCCGCCCTCAGCCTCTCTCCGCCCTCAGCCTCTCTCCGCCCTCAACCTCTCACCCGCCGCGCCTCCACTCCTCCCTTGCCACTGCAGTGTGGACGGGTAGCGAGGCATGGCAGACATAGTGGTGGATGGAAAAACGCCACTTTAGTTTATCCGAAAGACGATTGCCCTTCATTCTTGCCTCCCCTTCTCTGTCACTGCTGCACTGTGGGGTGGCGAGGCCAACTCGAAGTACCTTTCCTCACATGCCCTTCACTCCCCATGCCTTTCCTCCCTGCATGCCTGTGCAGTGTGAACGGGTACCGCGGCATGGTGGAGCGGCACCTGGAGGTGGAGGTCACAGGGCTGGGCAGGGATGGCAAGCCCCTCACCGTGCACGCCACAGGCTGGCAGGCCAGAATCCTGCAGGTGGGTGGGTGGGGCTGCTCTTGTGGTGGTGACGACAGCAAAACATTTGTACGTTTCATTGGACAGTTCAAGAGGAGTTGAGTCATGAACGAGCCTGATGGCCAGAAAGGCACTCAGCAGACGCCTTCTATTTCGAGTATCACAGATGTATGCTCTCCCATTTTCAATCTTTCCCCCTGGTATACAAAGCTGCTGGCTGTTCTCTCCGTTCATCCCTCGAGTCCCAACCCCCCCCCCCTCCCTATGCTCTCCCCCTGAACTCCCTGTGGCTGCACCTCCACACCACACCACACCACACCACACCACACCACACCACACCACACCACACCACACCACACCGCACCACACCACACCACACCGCACCACACCACACTGGACCACACCACACCACGCCACGCCACACGACCACCAGCACGAGTGCGACCACCTGGCAGGGCTGCTGTACGTGGACAGGGTGGTTCCTCGCACCTTCCGCACCGGTGCCAACCTGCGCCTGCCCCTTCCCAAGGGATGCCCCAAGCCCGGCTGCTGCTGAGGGAAGGAGAGCAGGCATGGGGAGAGGGGCTTGGTGGCATGAAAGGGGAGGCGAGCTTTGAGACGTCTCAAAACTGCCCAAGGGGTGCGGCAAGCCCAGCTGCTGCGAGGGGAGGGTAACAGGCAGGGAGAGGGGGGTTTTGTGGAGTAAAAGAGGGATGTGTGGGAGAGATTAAGGGAGAGGGAGAGGGAGAGGGATGGGTGTAGAAAGCTGGGGCAGTTCGCCATCCTGATTCCCAACTGCGCTTGCTAGGGCGTACTCATGGCCTGGGTTGGGCACTGCTGCGGAGGAGGGAGAGGTGAGAGGGGGGGCGGGGAAGGAGTGGGCACTGACTGTCCATGTCTGCTTCCGGCAGAGCTGGTGGAAGGCAAGAAGTGGTGCAGGAGGGAACTGGGAGGAGGAGGCTAAAAGGCGAGATACGAAGTGGAGGGCGAGGTGAGGGTGCGTGTGAGGTGTGGGAGGCACGGGGCGAAATGTGGAAAGAGAGAGTGAGGAGCAGCAGGCCCATAGATGACTGACTGAGAAGGGAGCACGCGGAGGGAAGCAAAGTGGGCCAAGGTAAGGCAAGTTGGTTTGCCTGACAATCTGACTAAGCGAGAGAGGGATGTGTAAAGATGCCTATGGTGAAGAAGGCTTCATTGGAGGCATGAAACAGGAGCTTTTGTTTGTGTAGAATATTCTGCAGATGTTGTCTTCAATAGTACACTTTTATGTACACCTGCACACTGACAAGAACCTCCAGGAACTGCTGCATTGAATATTGAGATGATACGATAACAGCTGTCAGAAGCATAAGCATAAGCTCTATGTACAAGCAGGTAAGTGTACAGGGACACAGTCGGTACAAGCAACTGGAAACACTTATTGTAGCCAGGCCGCCTCGCAACGGCGCCGAAATTAAGCGCTGGACCGAGCAGAGTAAAACTATACAACCATGTCAATATGCCATGCGCAGACATCTCCAAGTCACATGCGGAACACTCCATATCTGGGACCAGCCTCAGCAGGTGTCTGTGCAGCGGGCGTTGCGTTGGCAGCAGCAGTGAGGGCAAGGGAGAGCACGGTGCGCGAGTCAGCGGGGTCGATGATGCCATCGTCCCACAGGCGGGCCGTCGAGAAGAACGACGAGCCCTCGCTGTCGTAGCGCGCCGCGATGCGCTGCTTGAAGGCACGCTCTTCCTGCTCGCTCCACTGAGCAGCAGCGCAGACAGACAGCAGAGGCATGAGCAGTACAGGGAGTAGGTGGATCATGAAACTGCTTGGCATGGGCGGATGGGTGCATGGGGGGAGGGGTGCTTGGGAGTATGGGTGCACGGGTGCTTGGGAGGATGGGTGCACGGGTGCTTGGGAGGATGGGTGCACGGGTGCACGGGAGAAGGAGAGAAGTCAGCTTCTCTTACCGGTTTGCCATCACGAGCTCTCTTGTCCTTCTCAACCTGGGCCAACACCCCTGCCGCCTGCCATCGTGCCATGCCATGCCATGAATGCCATGCCATGCCATGCCATGCCATGAATGCCATGCCACGAATGCCACGCCAAGCCATGCAAAACCAAGAATGACATGGCAAAAAGAAGGAAGTCATTCGGGAAGAGTAGTTAAGGAAAAAGGCGGTGAGTGGGTGCAGGCAAAGCGATGAGCGACAGCACACTGTGTCACCACTTGCCACTCCTCCCCTGCTGGCCGCCCATCCTCACCCGCTGGCCGCCCATCCTCACCTGCTGGCCGCCCATGCTCACCTGCTGGCCGCCCATGCTCACCTGCTGGCCGCCCATCCTCACCTGCTGGTCGCCCATGCTCACCTGCTGGCCGCCCATGACTGAGATGCGAGCGGAGGGCCAGAGGAAGAGGAAGCCGGGCGAGTAGGCGCGGCCGCACATGCCGTAGTTGCCCGCGCCAAAGCTGCCGCCCACCACCATCGAGATCTTGGGAACCTGGGGAGGGGGGAGAGGTGAGGGTGGGGAATAGAGCAGGTGGGAGAGAGGCTGGTGGAGAGGGACGGGGGAAGATGTGGGCGACAGCGGAGGACGTGAGAGGTGCTCTGCAGTGAGGCTCCCATTCGCATGTGAGATGTGCTCATGCAAAACGATGGAAGCATGGAGAACACATGGCATGCACATACCGGTGCGCATGCCATACCTGTGCGCATGCCATACCTGTGCGCATGCCACGGCCATCACCATCTTGGCTCCTGCCTTGGCAATGCCCGCACTCTCTGCCGACCGCCCCACCTGCCGACACAGGGGCAAGGAGAGGAGCGAATAGGTTCAAGTGGGAGTACCACACATGCATGCACACATGGCATGGGGACTCACATGCACGCACGCATGGCATGGGGACTCACATGCACGCACACATGGCATGGGGACTCACATGCACGCACACATGGCATGGGGACTCACATGCACGCACACATGGCATGGGGACTCATATGCACGCACACATGGCATGGGGACTCACATGCACGCACACATGGCATGGGGACTCACATGCACGCACACATGGCATGGGGACTCACATGCACGCACACATGGCATGGGGACTCACATGCACGCACACATGGCATGGGGACTCACATGCACGCACACATGGCATGGGGACTCATATGCACGCACACATGGCATGGGGACTCACATGCACGCACGCATGGCATGGGGACTCACATGCACGCACGCATGGCATGGGGACTCACATGCACGCACACATGGCATGGGGACTCACATGCACGCACACATGGCATGGGGACTCACATGCACGCACACATGGCATGGGGACTCATATGCACGCACACATGGCATGGGGACTCACATGCACGCACACATGGCATGGGGACTCACATGCACGCACACATGGCATGGGGACTCAC